TATGGCTAGGTTGAATTGAGAAATTTTAGTTATGCTGTGCTATCGGACCTGTATGGGATAGGGTGACGTGGGATCACCCCCGGGTATGTGCATGTGAAAAGCTACACAGCGATTTGATAGCTATTGGAACAACTCTGGGCACGTTCGAGGACGAACGTATGTTTAAGTGGGGGAGGATGTAACGACCCGACCGGTCGTTTTGAACATTTGCACTTTGCTTGGTTGTTTGAGGGTATGAGTAGATCTGTATGATGTACTTTGACTTGTGTGAATCGTCGGTTTTGGGTCGCAGGTATTTCGGAATCGAATTAGAAGAAGGAATTTCATTGTTGAAGCTTTAAATTGGGAGAGTTGACCAAAATTTGACTCTTTAGCATTTGACCTCAGATTGGAATTCTGATGGTTCCATTAGCTTCATTAGGTGATTTTGGACTTAGGAGCGTGACCGGAATGTAATTTGGAGGTCTGTGATAGAATTAAGCTTGAATTGGCGAAATTGGAAATTTGGCGATTTTGGCCGGCAGTGGAAAATTTGATATCGGGGTCGGAATGTAATTCCGGAAGTTGGAGTAGGTTTATAGTGTACTTTGTGACGTGTGTGCAAATTTTGAGGTCATTCGGACGTGGTTTGGTTTGTTTCGGCATCGATTGCCGAATTTGGAAATTAGAAGTTCTTAGGCTTGAATCCGAGGGTAATTTGGTATTTGGATGTTGTTTTGAGTGATTCGAAGGTTCGACTAAGTTTGTATGCGGATATATGACTTGTTGGTATTTTTGGTTGAGGTCCCGAGGGCCTCGGGGTGATTCCGGGGGGTTAACGGATTTGTCGAAGTTGGACTTTGCAGCTGGAGCTGCTACTTCTGCTATTTCCGCACATGCGGAAGAAAGGGTCGCAGGTGCGAGGTCGTTGGTGCTCGTGGGGAGTGCTCAGGTGCGGGAGACACTGGGCCAAGGTTGGGAACACATGTGCGAAGAATTGGCCGCATCTGCGAGCCCGCAGGTGCGAGGCCTTGAGCGCAGATGTGGAGATGAGGAGTTTGGGCTGGTTTCACAGATGCGCACCTGGGACCGCAGATGTGAGTCCGCAGGTGCGGAAGATGGGTGATTAAGTGCGTTGCGCAGATGCGACTTCTTGGACCGCAGGTGCGGTCGCGCGGGTGCGAGAAAATGGCCGCAGGTTCGAAAAACCTAGGCATAAACCATAAATAGAACCCTTCGCGAATTTTGGTCATTCTTCACAATTTTAACGCGGTTTTTGGAGCTTTTGGGAGATATTTGAAGAGGGAATCAAGGGGATTTCGTTGAGGTAAGTTACTTGAGACCTAATACTTGTATATATGGTGATTTTCTGTTGTTTTAATCATGGTAATTAGTGAAAATGAGGGGTTAGGGCTTGAAATATTTGGAGAGTAATTTAAGGATTTGAAGGACCAAACGATGTCGGATTTTGATGAATTTGGTATAGTTAGACTCGTGAGTGAATGAGCTTTCTAGTTTTATAAATTTGGTCGGATTTCGAGACGTGGGCCCGGGGGCGGGGTTTGAGCCAATTTCGGGTTTTGGTCTAATTTTGTAGTTTTTCTTGTGGAATTCATTCCATTAGCGCGTATTGATGGTATTGTACTGATTGTGAATAGATTTTGACCGGTTTGAGGTAAGTAACGATTGTAAATCTGGTCCTGAGGGTATGAAACCCCGGATTTTGTACCATTCTACTATTTTTAGTGAAGCACATGCTAGGTGACGGACGTGCACTGTTGGGGATTTGTGACTTAGTCCGTCCCGTAGCAACTGTAAAGTTGCATACTTTTGTTGAAACCATATGATACTTATATGTTTTAGAAAGAATTTCTGTAAATTAGGCTGAATGCCATGTTTGGGCCTTGCGCCAAAGCTGTTTGGATCCTTAGGGGCTGTTTCTTACCATCCTCATTGGTTTTGATTGAAAATCTATACTCAGTCATGTTTATACTTGTTTACCGCATAACTCGGTTTTATGATTCTATTTTGATGCATATAAATGTTTTGGGCCGAATGCCCTGTTTTACTGAAATGCCCGAGTGGCTTGAGAGGTTTATGACTGAGTGAGGTCGAGGGCCTGATTTGTGAGGATGAGCGTGGATCAGGGCTGCCCGCCTGCAGCATATTTATGACTGAGTGAGGCCGAGGGCCTGATTTGTGAGGATGCGTATGGATCGGGGTTGCCCGCCTGCAGCATACTTTATTATTGTAGCACGTGAGTTATCCGTGCAGCACGTGAGTTGTCCGTGCAGATTATAGTGCTTGGGCTGAAGGAGCCCCTCCGGAGTCTGTACACACCCCCAGTGAGCGCAGGTACCTACTGAGTGCGAGTGCCGAGTGCTGAGTGACTGGGAGGCATGAGTGATTTTGAGGTATGCCCGAGTAGCAAGAGTGATTGTGAGGTATGCTNAGATTTCCTGATATGAACGTTATATGCTTTATTGCTCGTCACTACTGCTCAGTCTTTATTTATTCTTTTTACTTACTGAGTTGGCATACTCACGTTACTCCCTGCACCTTGTGTGCAGATTCAGGGTGTAGCTGGACACGGTAGCGGTTATTGAGTGTTCTGGTTGCAGATTTTCTTGGAGATAGCAAGGTAGCTGTTTAGCGATCGTAGCCCCTGCTCTTCTCCCTCTTATCTTCCTCTAGTTGTATTTAGCTATTTTCCAGGCTGAGTTAGCCTTGATATTGTTAGACAGATTGTAGTAGATGCTAATGACTAGTGACACCCTGATGTCGGATTTTTCTATCCGTACATTTGTTTTCTTTGATTTGAACTCCTTAAATGAAGGTTTTATGTTAAATAAAATTGAAATTATCTTTGAAATTAAAATATCGGTTTTGTTTGGAAATGAGTCGGCTTGCCTAGTTCCACGATAGACGCCATCACGAGAGGGGTTAGTTTGGGTCGTGACAAAGACCTCTGATGACTCGGTACTTCTGCTCTGATTCAACAAACAGTTGTGAACTAGAGACCAAGTTGACTATATCTGCTCATGCAGGTCATCAAATCCATAACCACGCCCCCTCTACCCCGACAAGGCAAAACTGTTATCAACTAGATTGAATGCTACGCAAGTTATTGGACAAAATATATAAACATGGCCTCAAGGGTGCAAAGCGTCCAAAACATAAGCGTGCACAGAAGAACGTGTCATAGCGATCAAATGAAGCTGGAAAAGCATGAGAAATCAGGATTCAAATCGCAACAAAGACAAGTAATTAGGTGATTTATTCTTATCTATCTAAGCATTAACAGGCTGCATTACATGCATGGTGGGAGGTAACAAATACCCGCCAGATTAGTCCAGGAGTGTGTAAGTTGGTTCGTGTGCCACTGAAAACCAAAAAAACATGGCTTCCACATGCTTTTAGTGGCTTGAGATCAAGGTTCCTCAAAGTATTCAGCACGCGCACTAACATGATTTCAGACTCATTTCTTAGGGTTGATGCACTGGACCTAACATGTCACTTGGAGAGTAACATGAAGCTCGGAAGTCATAATTGGGGTGTAGTCAATACTCCCAAATAGAAAGGGGATTGATTTATGGTCGATTTCGTAACGAATTGGAGGGGTCAAATCCCTTTCTTAGGCTCCCTATTGGTACATCCATTTCCTTCAAAAAGAGAAATTTAAGAGAAAACACAGCAAAGCTTCTCAAACGAAGAGTGTCATTCAAGTAAACCTTGTTTTATCCATCGGATATGACATAGCTGCAAGTCATAAGAAATTCCAAAGACAAGTTCTTCTGTTGTCCCTGACTTGTGGAACAAGCATGAAGTGCATGGTTAAGCGCTACCATGTTGATCGGTATACTACGGTCTTATCTTTTGTCCTCATGATCTCTTTCATAAAGCATAAACACTGAACATACATACATCCAGAGCAAGTGATTTCAAGTGGGTAACGCTTAAATCCCCTATTAGATCAGGCAAAGGAAGACAGACAGTGCCATTGCTGCAAATACAGTATCATACAGATTGGCCATCTTGTACTGTTAAATCCTAGACCTGTTTAAAAGACATACTACAGCCTGTGGATGGATCTCAATTTAACAAAATAGAAAAGCAGGTAAAACGATAGTTCTAACAAGTACTATATAATTTTTCGATCCCAAATTATAATCAACGGGAGAAGGCATGTAGAAACATACAAAAGGGTATTCTATCACCTTAGAAGCTCCTCGTCCCTCTGCAGCCTCATAAGTCATATCTATATAGAATATCTATCGCAATTAAGGTCATCTCCAACCCTTGCCTCCATTTTCTCCTCCAAAATAGAATAAAGTTACTCCAACCACTACTCCATTTTTTACACCAAAAAAGAATATTTCATTTATATTTCTCTCTTCAATATTATATTATTATCGTTTATTTAAATTTTATTTTCTTATTTATATTAAAGAAATTCTATTTTTTTATTTTTTTTTTTACATATTTATCACATATAATTTATATTCTTTTCTTATATAAACATTTAATATAAAATTATTTTATACCTTAAATTTTAAAATAATATAATTTGTAAGCAAATATTATAGATTATATATATATATATATTAACGGATAATTCAAATAAAAGTAAAATCATTGAGAAACAAGATAAATACATATTACATTATGGTATATTCAGATTAAATAGTACATAAATATTCAACTTCCACCTCTAGTATGCTCCCATAAATGATCTATTAATGCATTACGAAATGCAAAATGAACATCTTTGTCCTTAATTCTTTTGTGTCGAGCTAAAAATTGTTCAAATTGGTGATTTTCATCTACTACCATTTCTACCTTTGGAGGTGGACATTCCCAATCATCTTGAATTGGTGCAATTATAACTTATAATAAAATTAACTTATAATTTTACATAAAAATAATAAATGCACGATAATTAATTTATTAAAATTATACGCCAAAGTTAAGATGTAAAATTAATACTGTAAAGATATTACATAAACATAATTAGATATATATAAAAGAGTTGAATAATAAAAATAATAATAAAGTAATACGGAATAGTAATGGAGGCCATTTTGCAGCCAAAAATGGCATTGGAGGCCAATTTCTCCAAAAACCAACTGAGCAAATGCAGTTGGCATTGGAGATGGCCTAAGGGGAATAACATTGCCCGAACAATAAGAAAGCAATTCAAAGTTGTTTAAATGATAAGTTCATCACTACTGTGGCACCACAGAAAACTTCCAGTTTCAATAACCGGTTGATCAACTCCAAGCCAGTTTAGTCCTTCAAAGATAAGCCATACTATAAACGCTCCATTTACCACTGTACCCTAGAGGTCAACATCACCTAAAATAAGAAGGCAGCTCAGATGTGTATAATCATAAGGCAATGAGCAGACCGCCATGGCTGCAACCCAAGCTGCATCCGGGCCTTAAAGCACCTTCAAAATCGGGTTGCCCCGCCAAGAGGCGAGCCTCTTCAACTCAATCCTCAATTCCTTGTGTACAGGAATTATCATCACAGGCTCTTTCAGTTCTGTACTATGTCCTCGTTTTGCCGTTGTAGTCCAGTCAGCTAGGATATCTGGCTCTCATTCAAGAGACCCGAGTTTGATTCCAGAAGTTGAAAGAAATTTTCCCACCAAGTTCGGGATTGATGCATTATCAGTTGTTATCACAGTTTCGATGTGTTGAAAACACAGCCAGCGGAACAACTTCATCAACAGGTGTGGTGAAATATTAGGGATGCAAAATGCTTTTTCTTCTAATATGTAACCTGAAAGCCGAAGGCTCAATCACACCCCTTGAACCAAGAAAAAGGTTCTTTTTCTGAAGTATATTGAGGCTCAGATCCATACTAGAAGAAGGCAAAAGGGAAGGCCACCACGCAATGGCAGCACAACATCGGTTGCATGCAAATAGAGCTCAATCAGACGCCATACCGGGTTGCCATGCTGAGATACTGGTCAGGTCATCTCCATGACCGACTCCGCTAGCACATATACACAAAAACATCATCATCACTGCATCTCTTTCCACCAACAACACAAAAAACTGACACACAGACAGATGTTATATAACTTAAAAATCCTTTTTCGTTTTCCAGTTTTTACTGCTTCTGTTTTCTCCATAAAATATAGGAAAATCAATGGAAAAAGGGAAGCCCACCATGCCATGGCTGCAAATTGCATGCAAGAGCGACCTCAATCACAATCCAGACATGAACTCTGGATTAGTAATAAAAAGGAAGTGCAATAAGTATTATCACATCCCTTTTACATGAACTCTAGCATATACTGCTTAAATTAGCCACAACTGCTTACAAGGAAGAATCTCAAAGCACAACAACATAGCAGTTATGCACTAAGGAGCACCCATAGTGTAAACACATAAAGTTACAGACAGAGCGTCCAGCTACTGCATGACCCAAAATTGATCTTCATAAATTCGAGGTATTATCACATAGGAAACAAACACGAAGACACAGTAACTTGTAAAATCACATATTGGAGATGAGACTTGCTTTTTGATATGGGAGCAAAGACAAAATTATAGCCCAAATTTGGTTTTTGAACAATTCCCTTTTAGTTTGGATTCACAGAATTAACAAAATCGCAAAACTCATCTGCTGTATGTCGATAGAGATATTTGAAATTTGGTCCTCATTGAAGGATGGGGAGGAAAAAATCGTGAACTTAACAGAGACAAATAAGAAGAGGACGGATAAAAGGTGGTATTATAAGCACCTCTTACATAAAAACCTCATTTCCCTGTTTGGCTCATTCTTTGATTCGAACTTGGAAGATCGAGCAAAAAATTGATGCAAAGTGTGTGTTTTTGAGAGAGAATGCAGGTCATAGAAAAATATGAGGATTTTTGAATTTTGAAATTGTTGAAAACAGAAACATACTAGAGGACAGCATCATCAACAGGGAAAAATACAACACACACACACAGTGTGAATTGAGAGAAAAATGTGAAGATGGCTATTGGTAACCATAAGAGAAATCATGGGCTTACCGGAGAAGGCGATTTCCAAACAAAACAAAAGAGAATGTGATGATGCTATCGCTGCAGACACCAGTTTGCTACATAAAGCCATATTGGATCACCCTGCCAAGATGCAAGTTCGAGTATATTCACAATAACGTGATTGAACATAGCCCAAAAAGGAAAGCAAGATTTTCACAAATAGGACAATTTCAGGCTACTTTTTAAGGGCTCAAATGTACAACAACAACAACTACAGCTATGCCTCTGTCCCAAACAAGTTGGGGTCAAGCTATATGAATCGTCACTAACCATGTTCCTCCATTTAAGCTCAACCCATGTCATTATCATACCAAATAAAGAAAAGGCGCAGATGCGTGTTAAGACAAAGCTAAAGAGAAGCCAACCACGCCATGGCTGCAAACACCAATTGCATGTGAGAGAAAGAAGTCTCAGTCACAAGCCATGTTGGGTTGCCAAGCCAAGACACGGGCTGGATAATCTCCACGCCTAATTGGTTAGCCCAGATATAGAAACATCATCATCACAGCCTCTCTTTGTACCTTCCTTCAACTCCAAAAAACACCACACCACACCTTTGTACCTTCCATCAACACCAAAAAACAACACACCACACCAGAGGAAAGACAGATATGTAGTAGTGTGGGGAGAGCAACAACAACAACAACAATAAAACAACAAAAACCCAGTGGAATCCCACAAGTGGGGTTTGAGGGTAGTGGGTACACACACCTTATCCAACCTTGTGCAGGTAGAGAGGCTATTTCCAAGAGACCCCTGGCTCACGCTAGTGTGGGGAGAGCAGTATTGTTTAATTATATTTCCAGTTCTTGTTTCATCTTTTTCCATGACAAGAGCTGTTGGTATTTTCTGAATATAGAGAAAATCAACAGCAGAACAGAGAGGGGCAACCACCCTTTAAAGAAAATCCCATCTGTTTTGCATCATTTCTTTAAGCCACCCTAGAAGTAGTATTTATCATCCCAGCACCTTTAATCCAGACAATGGGGTAGGCTCAAATTTGCCTTTGCTCAGACAAAAACCCAAAAAGCTTTGGCAAAAGACCTCCATGGCTGCAAACATCAGTTAATCTTATGAAACAGGAAAAAAAAAACACAAAACATTTGGATTTTTCTCCAATATCTCACAGACCATCTGAGCTGCCACGCCAAGATTACAATTTTTTCCCAGCTCAATATATTTATATGTCTGATTGATCTTCCAGAGAAGAATTAAATCTTTATAGCCTTATCGCGTCGCATAAATTGAAACAGGGGAGTAATACGCATTTTCACCAAACAGGTGGTTTTGCAATCGTACATTTGAGTGATCATTGGCGGCGGAGAATTGACAAAGAGCAGCAAAACCACCCAATGAAACTCCCTACAGCTCTTTGCTTCACCGCAACCTCAGACTTAAGCTAATGAGTTTTTTGCTATTTTCCTGTTAATCCAAGGGCAACCCAGTGCACAAGGCATCCCGCGTTCACGTAGGATCCGGCAAAGGGCCGCACCCAAGGGGTGTGATGTAAATAGCATACCCTAATCAAGCATTAGTAGCTACTTTCACGGCTCGAAACTGTGATCTGTAAGTCACACGAATACAACTTTACCATTGCTCCAAGGCTTGCCTCCCTATTTTCCTGTTAATCCAAATCATAAGAAAAGATTATCTTCTTTTTTTCTTTTCAACAAATGGGACTCAGATGTGTTATGATAAGGCAAAGAGAAGCCAGCTACGCCATGGCTGCAAAACACCAGTTGCAAGTGAGAGACAGAAATCTCAAACACAGGCCATACCGGGTTGCCAAGCCAAGATACGGGTCGGGTCATCTCTATGCCCAAATTGGTTAGCCCAGATACAAGAAACATCATCATCACTGCCTCTTTATGTAACTTCCATCAGCAACATAAACACACACACACAAAAAGTAAATACAGATTTCACTGAAAAAGATTTTACTTTTTTCGGAATTTCACAATTCTTATGTCCAAACGCCCACTTAAATCCTGTCTGCTTCTGCTTTTGTCATAAACAGGGGCTGTTTGGTTTTTTTTTTTTTTTGAAAATGGAGGAAAATCAGGGAACGGAGAGGGGCAACCACCCTTCTAATGAAAATCCCAATATTCTCTGCTTTGCCTCATTTCTTTCTGGGCTAACCTTTTTGCATTTTTAGGGGAAATTCTCGTGGGTTTTTCACCTGCGAATTTCAAAATTTAACGGAAAAGAGCGTTGTAAGTTTGCACTTAAGAAAATAACCTTCCAATTGAGGCTCAGATTTGTAATGTTGAAGATAAGGGAAGAGATTGGAGACACCGCCATGGCTGCAAACACTGGTTGCAAGTCGTCACCGTCTGAATTGCCCCGCCAAGTTACGGTTCCGATTATTCTCCTGCCCTAATCAAGTTGCTCAGAGACAGAAGAAAAAATCATAATCACAGCCTCAGATTTTTGCTTGGGTTGCTCCAGTGGTGAGCACCCTCCAAGAGGTTGTGAGTTCAGTCACCCAAGAGCAAGATAGTTCCAACCAAGAGATTATGAGTTCGAGTCAAGCAAGCAGGGAGTTATGAGAGAGAGAGAGGGAAGCTAGGGTCTATCGGAAACAGCTTCTCTACTATCCAGGTAGGGATAAAGTCTGTGTAAAACTAACATTCCCAGACCCCAGTGTAATTATATTGCGATGTTGTTGTTGTTAGTATTCTCTTTTTGGGAGTGAGGATTTGGAGTTAGAGTAGAGAGGTCGTTTGGATATAGTTTACTGCAGAAGGGCATTTTTTGGCAAAAATGAAATCACAGGAATTGTAGAGAGGAGCAGCTACCCTTGAGCTTCCCTCTACTCTGATCCAACTCTCATTCTTTGTTTTTCTCTGCTGTCTTAAAGAGAATAATTTAAGGCATCGATATTTCTTGTTTTGCCCTCTGATGTACGCTTATTTACGCTATAGTAGGCTTATCTGCAGTAAAGTTAAAGGTATTTTGGGCACACTGTACCACTTAACATGGTGGATCAATTGAATTTGGTTTTGTTAAATCATGAATGGAATATTTTGGTTTTGCCTGTCCTGGGAAATACATGTTTGACACGACCAAAATTATTTACAGTACAGAATGAAATTATTTAGAAAATAATTTTTCTTACACAGAATCATAGTGAAGAAAATGCTTTTGGCAGAAGAACTCAATCTTTCTCAAAATCCTCATTCTTTTGGTCTGATGCTTAAGCTAACACTTAGAGGCAAAAAGTAGTTGAAATTCAAAGAAGAAGAAGTTTTAGATCTATTTCACAGTACTTAAGAGGCTCAGATCTGCAAAGAGAGATCGGGCAAAAGAGAGGCAACCGCGCCATGGCTGCAAAATCACCGGTTGCATGCAAAGAAAATACCTTCGATTCGCCAGGCCAAGATACGGGTCGGATAGTCTCTATGCCCGACCTAGTTAGCCCAGAATCAGAATAAAATATCATCATCATTGCCTCTATTGTTATGAACCAAAACGGAGGGGAAAAATCACAGAAAACAGAGATCTGGGTGTTGTTGTTGATGCTCAAGTATAGACTGTACATATTTCCATGAATTCAAGGGCTGTTGATTTTTTTTTAAGTGGAAAAGGAAAATCATTGGCTAAACAGAGAGGGGCAACCACCCTTTGAATAAAATCCCAATACTCTCTGTTTTTGCCTCATTTTTTGTCTTTTCTTTTTTGGGCTAACTTTTCTTTGCTCGGGAAATCCTTCGGTTTTTTCACCAAATGAATTTCCACCTTTCACTTTTTGTGTTCTCTTGTTATAAATACTCTTGCTTTGAAGAATCTAGAACGGGTTAGTGAATTTTAATCAGTGACAGTTAGTACGTTACTATTTTTTAATTTATAATTAGTTAATAAATAATTATTTATTTACTTTTAAAAATCAACAACAATACTAACATTCACAATGTGATTTATGAATGAAATTTGTGAAGGATGAGATGTATGCTTACCTGTACATTGTGAGATAAAAATATTTTTAATAGAATCTTGGTTCAAGAAAAATATTTAAATACATAAATTTTATTTTTAAAATTGTGGTTGCTTTTGTGTTTGGATTAAACCTATTTAATGGGCCGGGTTGACCCTGTTCCGGACCTGCCCAGACCGATATTAAACCGGATCGGCCCGAACCGGTGGTAGGGGGCCGGGTAGGGCTGGGTTTGGGAGTAAGGGGTTGGGACGTTTATATTTTCCTTACCGGTTAACCGGATCGGTCAAACCCGATCAAGAAAAATCACTGTTGAACCGGTTAACCGGACTGGCCCGGATCGGTTCAACGGCTATTTTCTGAATTTCTTTTTTTTAAAAAAAAAATTTCATTTGACCGTTGGCAACAGACAACTTCCAATTTGACCGTTGCCCAACGGATATTTTGCAAGAATAATTCTTTTTGGATCATATTTTTAAAAAATAACACTTTTAGTAATTACTAATTGGTGTTGTTTTAAATCCTTCTATTAAGATGTCTAATTGTCACCAATTAATCAATATTTTATATACTTATATGGAGATTGGACCAACTGAAACCCCAGATATATATTGTTGTATGAACAAGCTAAATGATTATTTATAACAATTATATAATTATTATGCAAATATAATTGATGATGAAGCTATTAATGTAGGCAATGTTAATCTCACTATGCATTGTTCTACTTCTACTGCATCTGCTACTATGGATGAAGATGAAGGCATTGATGGTTATAATATTTGGTCTGCATTTCCTTCCACTCAAACCAGTAGCAGGAACATTGATGAACTTCAATTCTACTTGCAAAAGCAATTAGAGCCTCGCACAAAGGAATTTTCACCATTGGGATGGTGGCATGAGAATGAAAAATAATTTCCTGTTCATTCCGCTATGGCTCGGGACGTGCTGAATGTGCCAATTTCAATTGTTGCATCAGAGCGTGCATTTAGTCAAGCAAGACAACAACTAGGAGACACCTGTCACTCATTGGGAAGCAATGCTTTAGAAGTTTTAGTATGTTTCAGAGATTGGATTAGATCGGAACGAAGAAATCAGGGACGTGAAGATGTTGATAAACTAGAAGACGAGTACTTGGAGATATATTAACACATGGTCACCCATCTGAATTTAACACTCTAGAAGACGGCCAAGAAGTTTATATTGATTATGAAGAACTTACTAAGGTAATGCAAAACCTTTGAATGTAAACTTTAATTTGCAAGTTTGAAATAAAAAAGAACTTGCAAATTGTAAGTGCAATTTTTTTTCATCTTCATTGTATTATATTATCTTAAATTCTTAATAAAATATTCAAATATAAGAATTTTAAAGCATTTGCATTATTTATTCAAACACTCTTTTTATAAGATTATTTTTTTATTTTATATTTTTACTTTATCTTAATATAAATTACGGTAATTATACAAAATACAAAAAAAAAACAAAAAACTCGACACGGCCCAACCCCTTTGACCAGTAACCATTCCGGTTCAATAAAGCACCGGATGGGCCCGGACCCAGTAAATCTGGTTGGGGAAAATCGGTACCAGTCAGTCACATTTTTCTTCAACCCCAGACCGGCCCCTGTCACGCATAGTTTGGATCAACTTTCAAAGTTATTGTCGGAAGACTCGGATACAGGGAACATCACGTGGGACGTGGTCTCTTAATTCCCATCTCCCATAATATTCTTGTGATTTTTTTAGGTAATTTTTCAGGTAGAATTTTGCTAGGGATAGATATTATTTCTGATTGACAGGTCCTTTTATTTTTGTCGCTTTGTTAGTAGATGTTATAAATATTTGCTTTACAAAATTGAGGTTAATCACCCTCTAAAATACACTATAAAAATAAAATCGACAGCTAAGTTGAACATAAAACCATAGTATATGAAGACTAAAGTAAGACACTTCAGTGAAAGGGTGCATTTACCTAAGAGCCTGTTTGGATATAAGAAATTTTTTTTTTTCAAAAAATTTTAGTTTTTTTCGAAATTAGTGTTTGTTCAAAAAAATTTTAATTTTCACTTGCAAATATATTTTGGAAATTTTCGAAAATTTGAAAAACTCCAAAAAACTATTTTTCAAAATTTTTACTCAAATCACTCACAAAACTTCAAAAACAACCCAAAATTATATTCATGTCTAAACACAACTCTAAATTTCAAATACCATTTTCACTTGAAATTTTTTTTTCCACCTATTTTGAAATTTTACAATTCTTATATCCAAACGCCCACTAAAACGGACAGTTTAAAAGTTGGGGGCACTGATGTAATAATAAGAGAACTAGATATGAACTAGTAGATAGTTTAAAGGAAAAAAGTCCGAATTTGCCCCTCTACTATAGTATATAATTTACATTTGTCCCTCGTTATAGTTTTCGTCCAAATCTACCCCTACTGTTAACAAAGTTTGCACAATTGCCCTTTGCCCTAACGTCCCTCCACCGTGGCATCTGACTTCTCTAATATTTTGTCCATGTCAGCAGCCAAGTAAGCAGGTTCCACTAATTAACCCACCCTTTTTTTTATTAAAAAATTCTCATCTTCTTCTCCCTATCTTAACTCACAGATCCCCACACTCCAAAACCTCCAAAAGATCGTTCTCATCTTCTTCTCCCTCTGTTAAATGTTCTCAACTGGAATATTCTCATCTTCTCTTCTTCTCTTCTTCTCATTTCTCCGGAAAACTTTTGCTTCGACGGAAAATACAGACGTCGACCACTACTATAGCCATGAAAGATGATTTATGGTAAAAATCAAGGCCAAAGCCAATGCAAAAATAGAGCTCTGCCTACCAACCAAGAAGGTAAAAACTCCAAAGATTATCAGTTGCGTTGTTGAGTTTTGAGCTTCAAGTGCGCTCAAAATCGGATTGATGTCGTCTTGGTTTGGATTAATTTTGAAAAAAAAATTGAAAACCCATTTCGGATTTCCAAGTTCACGGATCTAAAAGTTTAATGGATGTTGAGTGATTTATTGTTTAAATCTTCTAGAAATCATTTAATTGTGTTAGATTCAGAGCTTAACACTTATTTTATCAAGATTTAAGAGAAGAAAACTTGAAACCTCCATTTCTAGATAGTGAGAAAAGTTGAATAACTCGTCAAATTCTTCGAAATCTGGAAAAGTCGTGAAACAAAAATATGAGAATCAATAGTTATTGTTGTTTTGGGAAATATGAAGTTACTTGAATTTGATTTGGGATTATTTGGTTGTAATGGTGGTTGGAGCCTTGGAGGTGCTGGTGGCTTTGAGTGGGGTGGAAGAAATGGTCGGGGAAGAGGATGGTGAGGTGGCATTTGGTCGTGTGACTAGGAAGCTGACATGGAAAAAATAGAGTGGGTCAGCTGCCACGATGTAGATCCGTTAGGGATAAGGACAAATATTTTAAGTTCATTAACGGTAGCGGCAAGAATGGACAAATAGTATAACGGGTGGTAGAAGTAAATAATATAGTATAGTATAGGGGTAATTTTAGACCTTTTCCCTAGTTTAAATGTCGGCCAAACGCATTAGTTTTTGTTCAAACGTTATATTTTGTATTAAAAAACTAATGAATATGTACAAATTATTAATTTAGAACCCAATAACTTAAAAGGATTATAATTTCGAACCCATAAGGTTCAAATCCCAGTTCTGCCCCTGTTTGATGTTACGATTATTTTTTCTTATAATACCCTCTAACATACCGTATATGAAAGAATCCAACGGATAAGTTGAACTAGATTCAATATATTTGCGTTTGATAAAAAATTGTTTGTCAATTTTATCTTTTTGAGTTGTTTCAAAAAATTTGTCTATCCTTTTAATGAAAAAAGTCAAAATATTTGAATGAAAAGTTTATGGAATCTCTATTTTTTAAAAACAAATTGTAGCTATTTAGACAATTATTGTTGCGATAAAAATATTGTAGCTAATTGTTAGTTTTTGCCACTAACTGAAAGTTATTGTAGCAAAAGTAACTTTTTTATAATAATAAATTATTTAAATTAAAATATTATAGCCAAATAAATATTTTTGCTTTAAGTTTTAATTATGTGAAAAATCTATGAAAAAGTGAAATTTAGCCTTAAAAACTCATTTGAGTTGACTACGATCAACGTTTTGTGTAAACGGACCCGGATCAGTATTTTGACAGTCCCGATAGGTCCGTATCGTGATTTGGGACTTAGGCGTATGCCCGAAATCGAATTCTGATGTCCCTAGCTTGATTTAACGTAATTTGCTGAAAACTAGAAGTTTAAAGGTTTAAACAATTCATAAGTTTGACCGTAGGTTGAGTTTGTTGCTACCGGGCTTGGATTTCGATTCCAGGACTTGGTATAGGTTATTTTCAGTATTTATGACTTGTCTGCAAAATTTGGTGCAAAACGGAGTTGATTTGACGAGATTCGGACGTCCGGTTGAAAAACAAAATGAAAGTTCTTAAATTTCTTTGAAACTTTCATTTGTTTTGGTGTCCGATTCGTGGTTCTAGTTGTTATTTTGATATTTTTATCGTACGAGCGAATTTGTATGACGTTATTGCACTTGTGTGCATGTTTGGTTTGGAGCCCGAGGACTCGGGTGAGTTTCGGATAAGCTACGGACCATTTTGAACTTAGAATTGCTGGTTTTTGGAAGTGTGTTGTCACCTGATGCTTTGTACTTCGCGATCGCGAAGGTGAAACTGGGGCTGGGGTGGTTTTCTTCATCGCGAACGCGATAGCTGGGTCGCAAACGCGGAGCATTGAGGGATTTACCCTTCGCGAATGCTACCAGCTTCTCGC